TCTCTTTTTCTCTCTCTCTTTTTCTCTCTCTCTCATTCCCTACTAACTGACATCAATCTAGGTGAGAAACTTGGAGAGGAGATTGAAAATGACTTTAATGCCAAGGCTAAGGCGGCCGGCATGTCGGACGAGGAAATGAGAAACGCATTCAATGTTAACATGATAAGCACTGGTTTCCTCTGCGAAGGACCGGGCGATTTTGGGCGCAGATATGGCAGGAAGTGGCTTGTGACTGCCTACGAGGCGGGCGATGTGGTGCTACATACACCTCACATGGTATGTCACCACTTGAAAGCAAACTTGACCTCCTACTAATATTACGTAGATCCACGCATCCACGATGAACTTTGACAAGGGCAGGAAGATCCGGTTAGGCACAGACTTGCGCTTTGTCAACTCTGCCAGACCTTGGGATACTGTAAGTTTTTCCAGATTAGCTACATGGCGTGTGCAAGACTAATCCAGTGCAGCGGTGGTCGAACCACTACAAGTTTGACGATGGCGTATGAGCTCGCATGTCAATCCGATTCGGCCCACTGTGCCGAGAGGGAGTGTATTATATGACTAGTCCTCCACTGTAATTCGCGATTTGTTCTATGCAAGAACTCGATTGCCCGTTTTCTCTGCGCCAGATTGTGAATACAGTAGCCGCCGCCTATTGCCAGTCAGATTTGCCAAGAGAGACGCCACACTCAGATTGAAGACATACAGATTGTCAGCATGTGTGTAGGGATGAAAAACGCATTGATCACATGATCATTGGACATGGCAAGGCCCATGAGCGTATCCAAGAGTTTTGCGATAGCGTCTTGGGCCTACAAAAGTTAGTTTACGGATTTGGGCATAACCTTTAACATGATATTGACCTACCTGCACGTCTGAGTGGGCGTGGTAGGATGACAGAGGCTGACCTGCCGCAATACCACTGTGATCATACAAGCAGAATAATATTTTTCCAGCATAATAATATTGCAGTGCAACAACTAAAGTGATTAAGCAATCAATTTCTTAAAAGTGGGTGGATAACCATGAAGACGTATATCTTACCTGGAATGGGCAAGAGTAGCCATAGAGGTGGAAATACATCACTCTCGGTATCCGTCGTTTCTGCACGGAACAAGGGCTCAAATATTACAGGCTTGGTAGCAAACCAAGTGTCAAGCTCGTCGCGAAGGAGCTGCATTGAATCAGGCTGCGGATACCTTGAAGCATTGATGTTGTCTTGCGGCCGGCTTGAAGGTGTGCAAAGGCATTGCAAGATCTTTGCAAAGATGTACACAATGCGGTTGGCACAGGCAGTATCGTCAAGCCGACGAAGCATGCTGACACTCTCAAAGATATTCAACGACATTTCCAGTGGGCGCTGCATGGTCAGTGACACGTATATAGCCTGGCGAAGATGTACCCAGCTGGCGGCTTCTGCTAGACCACCTTGGACAGCAGAACGAGCCACAGATTCATGGTCAATCAAGCTCCTCGCCCCTCTAAGATGGTGGTACTCAACGTCAATGTCATTATCATACTCTTCGTACAATCGGGAAATGACAACGGCAACAAGGAGAACAGCATCATAGGTACTAGGTGGCCGATCAAAGGCTTTGATAAGCAGTTCAATGCAGCGACCATGGTATCTGGTCGTCTCCAGATCAGAGACGCGTCCATTGGACAATGCATCATATTTGCTGGCAAGTGCTAGGAGACCGTTTAAAATCATTGGTTCCTCCAAGGCAAGGCGTGGTACGATCAATGTAAAATGCCGAGACTCATCACAGGCGTCCACCTGTGGGTGATGTAATCAGCATTGGACGGATAGACAAGAGATGCCACAGGCAAAGGACATACGCTGGGTGCCAGCTTTAGCATGTACAATCTGAGTAGAAACGCTTCCCGGCTAGTCAAGCGAGTGTCCACAATAGCCGGAGCAGACGCCGGTTCGATTGCCGCCCCCTCTACCCTTGACTTGCTTATTGGCCGAGCGCCTCTCGATGACCCATGTTGCAGAACAGTAGAAACATGGTTGTCTTCGGCGAAGTCCACAACGGAGGCATGCACGTGTCGTTGGGCCGCCGCCTCAGGTGCCCCGCGCCGTCCCTTTGAGCAAGATTGCGCCCGCGAGTTGCCGACGGCTTGCAACTTTCGCGGCCTCGACCTGCGTGGAAGAGGCGCATCCTCGGGAGTAGACGGGGAGTCTGCATGCGACGACGACGCGGCAAGAAACGTCCATCTGGGCGCTGCTCTGCATTCACGGTTCGCTTCCTTGCAACCATGACAGACGGTAGCTCCCGGAGGAAAGTAGCATTTTCGATGCCGTTCTCGACAAGATTCGCAACCGCTTCGGGGCTTCATGGACGGCTGATGAAAGACTCCAGAATAGGCAACGCGACTCGAGTTCTGTTGTCGTGTGTAGTCGACTCTGGCCTTGATCTGGGGGCCATGCGGGATATATAGCTGAAAACAGAACAGTGCCCCGCGGGGTATTCTGCCTTTTAGGGGGCGAGCAGCGCCAGCCAAGTCTAGAATAGCCCTAGTGTACTGCACCTTTATGCGGGGATGGCGCTCGGCATTCGAAATGCCTGTTTTCTATCTGGTCAGAATTCTGCGAGTCTGCGATTATAGTGAGAGGCCAAGACGAATCCGGTCTGGTTGTGGCTGTCGGCCTACGCACTGTCGCTCATAACCACCTCGCTGGGTCATTTTGCTCGAGTCAGTCATGTGCCGAGCGACATGGAACTGTCTACTTCGCCGAACGGCACCGTCTCGAGACTTTAAGAGCGCCTTTCAATCAGCATGCGCAGGATCATGCTGTCCCCAGTTTCCCCAGATTTCCCCAGATTCAGACCAGGGAGATCATTGGTACATGCGGAGAATATTACCAAATACTAGGTCAGATGCGCCATTATCAACTATCTCTAATGTCAACGACGGTATCTAGGTACGTATATATATATAGCAGGTGAATACACATTGTTTCATCCATATCTATCACCATCCTCTACATCACCACTGTCATCATCTCTACCATACACCAGTCCTTGCCCATATACAATATCCATATCCCCCTTTCTCCCCCGTGTCAATTGCCCGTCATGGCTGTGGTAGACGAGAAAGTCGGAAGCTCCCACATTGAGGGTGCAGGCGACGATGCACTTGAAATCGGAGAGATAAATCTCGACATTGACGAGATTGAAAACACAACCACTGGCAAGTTCACGTGGTTGGTAGCATTTGCTGCTTCAATCGGTGGAATGCTATTTGGATACGACACTGGCATCATATCTGCAGTACTGGTGTATATTGGTGAAGATCTCGGACACCCTCTATCTTCAAGTGAAAAGGAGCTCATTACTTCTCTCTGCTCGGCGGGCGCATTCGTCGGTGCCATCGCAGCAGGCCTCACTGCCGACCGCTTTGGACGCAAAGGAGCTACATATTTCGCCAGTGTACTCTTTACAGTCGGTGCCATAATTCAAGCTTCTGCATTTTCCATCCCGCAAATGGCCGTTGGCCGGCTGGTCGTCGGTTTCGGTGTGGGTGCTGCTGCCATGATTGTTCCCCTTTACCTCGCCGAGTTGGCACCCACGAAGTTCCGAGGTCGCATGATTGGGCTGAACAATGCCTGCATCACTGGAGGGCAAGTCATCTCGTATGGCATTGGGGCAGGTTTGGCGCACGCACCGAATGGCTGGAGATGGATGGTAGCCCTCGGCGCCGTTCCGAGCATCATCCTGGGCTGTCTCCTCCCCTTTTGCCCCGAATCGCCTCGTCAGCTGCTCTTCCACGGCAAAACCGAAGAGGCGCACCGTGTCATTCAGCGCATCTTTAAAAATGCCACTCCGGAAATGGTCGACGACAAGGTCCGCCGCATCGAATCTAGCGTCAGTCAATCAAAATCTACGCTAGAGGGCCGAAGCCGATGGGCTGCCATTAAGCGAATGCACTCTGACCCCGCCAACTTTAGAGCACTTGTTTGTGCTTGTACATTGAGTACGTCTTGCTACTGAGCTTACTCTATCCATCTTCATTTGCTAATAGAAACAGTGGTCATAAGTCAGCTGTCCGGCTTCAACGTCTTGATGTACTACTCCGCCACGCTATTTGCCCTTGTCGGCTTCTCCAACCCCGTCGCGGTCGGTCTCGTCGTTGCCGGTACCAACTTTGTCATGACCTGGCTAAACGCCCTAGTGGTGGATCCTTATGGCCGCCGCCGGGTGCTGGTCTGTACCGTTTGGGGCATGTCTGCAGGACTGGCAGCTGTAGCTGTTGCATTCCACTTCATTCCCGTTGACCTCGAGACCTTGGAACTGAAGGAGAGCGCCATCACAACCCCGGCAATTGTCGTCCTGGTCTTTATCCTCTGGTTCTGCATCTTTTACGGTCTCTCCGTTGGTAACATTGCTTGGATGAGCACCGACTTTTTCCCAATGGAGATTCGTGCCATGGGAACAATGTGGATGACTTGCTGTAACTGGGGACCCAACGTTATTGTCTCCTCCACCTTTTTGACCATGATGAAGTCACTCACCCCTTCTGGAGCATTCGGTTTCTATTCTGGAGTGTGCTTCACGGGATGGGTCCTAATCATCTTCTTCTACCCAGAGGTGTCGGGCCTGTCGCTCGAGGAGACGAGCGAGGTCTTTCAGCATGGCTTTGGCGTTAGATACGCGGCCCGACTACGCAAGATGCGCAAAGAACAGGCGGCAAACCAAGCCAATCTAGCAATTGAGAAATTAAATTAGATGCCAAGATATGCATATATAACCAAGCAGAAGTATGTGTTCACCGGTCTGGATCAGGTTACCTTTTTTTATAAATATGATTATGTATATAAAAGAAAATCATTAAATAAAGGTTTTATTCCATATTATAGCATATTTAAAAAAAAAAAAGGAAAAATGCCGTTTTGAAAAATAATACTTTCTTTCTTTATTAAAAAAGAAAACAGAAAAAGAGGAAAAAAAGGAAAAAGAGGAAAAAGAGGAAAAAGAGGAAAAAGAGGAAAAAGAAGGAAAAAAAAGGAAAAAGAATTTATAGCTTATAAAGTTATAATTTCTTATAAAATATTTTTATTTTTTATTTTTTATAATAGGCAATAATTCTATTACTCCGTCGCCTTTTGCAAGTCCTAATAAAATATTTTTGGCGTCTCTGCAATGCGTTTAACGCGCTCGAAAAAATGATCTTCCACCTAGCTAGGCCTTCGGACAACGAAACACAGCCGCAGCAAGCAACCTAGAAGTCTGGCCAACCGAGCCCGGGCTTGTTGGGTACAGCCTGCTTTGGCTTTACCGACCAAGCGATCGTCGGACAAGGTGAATCAATAGCAATATGCACCTGACGGAGCTGAGTAACACACCTCGTTTGAAAAAGGAAAAAAGGGAGATGGAGAGGTGTCAGGTTAGGCCTGATATGTTACATTCCTATATCTTTGCAACGAGTCATGAGTAAAAAGCCTTTCAGATCTAGAATGGAGCATGAAGCGCAAAATGAAGGTGGCTGGCTTCTACTTCAACACGAGAACTATGTCAATGAGGGGCTACGCGAGAAGAGCACTGACTTTGCGGTGAACAAGAAGGCAAGTAAATGTCTACAGTTCCACAACAGCTGTTGTCTTTAGAAAGTTCCTGAATGCACCCCGCACATCTCTGCCATTGCCAGTAATGCCGTGAATATCTGTGGACCACCTACACCTGTATATGTATGCAGTCATCTTCGATCAAACGTCAGCGACATTCGGGTTAGAACTGTGGACTAATGTGGAGCTATACAACCTCAGATCGAATTGAAAGGGGACGCACAAAACGGTGGGGATCTAAAAGTATAAAGCCAATAAAGACACAAGTCGACGTGTCAGACTGGTCGTTAGGAACATGTGCCAAGAGAAAAGGAACCACTATAATGAGATCATAGCTTACTTGTTCTCATTGAACCAGTATCAGCGACGGCGCATTCGTATTGTTTACCTTTGCTGGAATTCTCCAACTAAAGGATCGGAGTGTGATATAGCGTGGGGGATGTCATGGTCTACACTCGATGTATTTCTTTTTTCTTTTATAAAAAAACCTGGCTGTGGTGGGAAGAGACCCTCGATTCATGCCCCTCCTCGTACTATCAGACTATATTCAAGTTTCACAAGCTAGTAATCAAAGTTTCTCATCTTATTTTGTGGATGGATTTGATAGAAAGACGCTGGGGCCACTGGAAAGCGTAGGAAGTGATCTATATGTTCTGATATGGATACGTTGCACAAAGTAAGACTATATTATTAGGCCGAGAGACAGAGCTTACAGACTGTATTCAGAGCTGTCATACCATTGGCTTTGAGTCGTGGAGAACCTTTATGTACACATTATTGGTCCGGGCTAAGTTACTATGGAAGCTCCTCTGACAATCACAATTTCCATCGTGTCAGAAAAAATAGGAGCACAAACACCGAATTCTACGTTAAAGTAGATCTTCACGATATATAGAGCAGAGATCATCAAAAATTCACGACTAAGCATTCAACATCGGCACATAAAGGCAGAAAGAATCGCTTACATGAGCCCCTGTAGTCTGACTGCTGATCAACACGAGGTCTTAGTAGTGGTGCAAACACAGCCTTGTCAGAGCACACCAATAGTATGGAAACAGCGGAGAGGTCCTTCATCATAGCTAATTGAGCTTCAAAGAATCCACTTGAATGTCAGCTTGGGACTTGATCTAAGTCCAAAGGGTCTATAAATAAGAGTCATTTCTCTATGATTTCGCAATTCAATAATCAGATCACAACACATTCCAACATTTCCATTGCATCACTAAACTTTCCAATCCAAACAATCTTCTCAGGCAATACCTACGAGATGAAGACCTTCCAGAACCTTGCCATTGTCCTCCTCGCCGCTTTGGGCGTCTCTGCGGTTCCTTCCGCAAGCGACATCGAGACCATCCAAGATGCTGGTTTCACATACAAGGGTCTCTCCGAGGTATGCCATCCAAATTTATATCTGTGTGCCCAACAGAAGTTGCTTTGATATTGTAATCGTGATCTGACATGCATTTTTGTAAAGGGTACTATCCAAGCTCGATCGCTCGAGGCACGATGCGGCGAGAACTACCCTCCTCACTCTGACTGCGTCATCGGACAGTGTCAGTGCTCAGAGGGCTACGGCTGCTACACGTCAGTACAAATTTCCATTATTTATTTATGAGACTTGACTTGTCAATGTTCTAACGAGAATCGTCTACTTCAGCTGCGGTGGCGGCCGCGACCAATGTCAGCCCGGCCCTGGCTCTGGCGAGTGCTGGGTGAACTAAGCAAAAGCATGTCTCGAGAGGATGTGCATCTCGATCTAAAAGCATGATTTGCCAATTCTCAGTGTCATGGAGTCTTGGGAGCTAGCCTCTGTCAAGAGCGGATGTTGGCCGTTGGGGTTTTTGCGCCAATTTACTGTTGATGTCATTCTTTTGCTTCCTTTTCGGCCAATGCAAGCTTCTCAAACAGTTCAGTATATATAGCTAGAAGAATAAAACTTCTGATCGGATCCATCATTTAAAAGGCAGAAATCATGTGGTGCGTCTCAATCCTTGTGAAGCTAGATTGAAACGCCGATATAGATTGATATGGACTATGGAAACGGGTTATACTCTCCCACGCCATAGCACACTCCGTCTACCTCAACACCAGGGATATGCTGAACAGCTTTCCCGTCTGCCCCAAAACGAATGAGATCGCCACCATCAGGGTCACTTGGATCCATTGGCAGCCACCCCATGGTCTGCTGTGGGCCATTGAACGGGTCCCTGACAAAGGCAAGAAAGTGGTCCTGCATCGAATCACTGGTCTCGATTTCCAACTGGGTAGTGTTTGCAACGTGATCCAGAAGTCTGTACGTCCCAAAGGATATCGGTATATCACTGGCATGGTAGGCGCCGAGCCACGAGTAATAATTCAGATTCGGAAAGATGCCCGCATACTGGAATCGAAAGACGGGCACGCCCACGCGGGTGCGATACACGGTCGACAAGTATGTCCGGCACACACCCAGCTCAATATCCAAAGCCGTGACTTCTGCCTGGTCTGGACCAGCAGTCAGGTTGTCCACCGGCCATGACACGAGCGAAGAATACTCGTTGGCCGTGTTGGAGATTATGACCGGTATCCTGGCGAATTTGCCTGCTTCGGACAGCGCACTGTAATTGCTAAAGACGATGCGATCATCAGGAAATACGGTAAATGTTAGCGTGGGAGTCTCGCCTCGATCGCCGTACTGTCCGATGAAGTTTTCAATAAGGGCCATGGGCACCTGGCGCATGCAGTCGAGCTCAGCAGTGCCGTCCACGTCCTCACCTTCGCTGCAGGGTATATCGCACCCAACGTGACGTGCAACATAGGTAAAGTTGGAGTACGTCGTATCCTTTTCAAGCTCCAGATCTACAATCAAGCCGGATTGCAACCAGTAGGCCTGGGCAATGGGGTCTTCGCGGAATGCATACGCATGAATATCCGTGCTGACGGCCCCCGAGGACCTGCCCCACTGAGTGATGCGGCTGGGGTCGCCGCCAAAGGCCGCAATATTGTCGTGCACCCATTCCAGGGCGGCGCGCTGGTCGAGGATACCCAGGTTCTGGTCCCCGTCGGCAAGGCCCCGGGCATTGGGGAAGCCAAAGATGTTTAGGCGGTAATTGATGGTTACAACTATGTGCGACTGCGACCGCTCCACCCACGAGGTTGGCATTTGCCAGGGAATATCAATGCCGCCCATGAGTAGGCCTCCTCCGGTCCTAAGATACCTTTAGGTCTTTTCCTATCAAGTCTTTGAGACAATCACGTACATGAAGAAAACGACGGGGAATCCGCCGTCGGGCTTTGGCGCATCAGCAGCGGGCGTCCACACTGCAACATACAGGCAGTCTTCAGACGTGGCTTCGCCGACCAAGCCCGACGTGTCATTCTGATAGCCATTGTATATCAAGTTTCCAGAAGTCAGATTGGTATTGAACAGCGATGGCAGCGCCGTCACGAATTGCGGGCAAGACGGAGGGAAGCGCGTGGCATAGTGATGCTCAGTGGGCGGAGAGGAGAGCTTCTGCGGCGGGAGCCAGCGGCGCGACCCCACTGGAGGCTCGGCAAAGGGCACGGCGCGGAATTGGCGCGTGTTTGGGAACTCGGGGTCAATGATACCGGTAAAGGTTCCCGTTGCGGTTTGCACCGTCAGACTATCGGAGCACAAGGAGTCCTTGGCTTCTCGGCCGAGACCGGCACTTGCCAATAGTGCAATCTGTGACAGAATCGCGAGTTTCATCTTGGGCGATACGGAGGCGTTGGAGTTTATGCGCAGCTCCACAAGGTGGGGGCAGATACAGAGAGTATAGCGATCAATTCAAGGTTTAGCAGCCAAGCTGGCCAAGCTGACGCCAAACACGACTACCTGCCTCTTTGTATACTTGTATCGGTGCCTCAAAGGTGCATCAAAAACGACCCCCACGGTACATTGACATAAGCTGCTTATACGAGACTTGCAGAATTCTAGAATATGAGATACATGTAGTGAGACGGAAGCTTGTGCAAAGTCAAAAGTACTTTTCTTGGTCTAGCTACTCATCACGCAACATGTTGTTGTAGTTTTCCATCTGCTGCTAGAGGGTACTTGGCCCGCCGTGGATAATGTATTCGATTGTTGACAAATAGTGCGCCCAAAGTGGGATCGACTCAGTGCATGAACTTCTCTTTTGGGCTGATGGAATCCGTGATTGGAAAATAATTGGGCAAATTACTATCTATCTATCAATGAATTTGGCCAAGACGTCATATCTCAAGATAGTCCTACCGTTCATCGTGGGGGGGTGTGGCCAGGCAAGTCTATCTGGAACGCAGCGAATGGGCGGCAAACTTGTCGATGCACCAGTGGATCCTGGAGAATCATCGGTGGCTTGGCTGGCAAGGCTGGGCTGCAGTATACCCTAGCTGCCTAGCAGTCTGCAGTATAGAATCCAGGCAAGCCAGGGGAAAGAAGACTGATCACCGTCTAGTGACAGGGCGTATGCCGTGCAGCCGTCGAAGATAGCGCGAACCGCGGAACATTTACAAATACGGAGTACAACCTCCTGTCACACACACACACTCCTCTCTTTGTGTGTATCCCTGCCCAGCTTCCCATGTGTCATTTCAATCAATCGCCTCATGTCACGTAAGAGAACGAGTTGAAAAGACAAGCGACGTCATGGTTGATATCCTCCGTGCTTGCATGTATCCAGTAGACAATGCATCTCAGTCGCAAGGAGATTCCTCGTATGGCAAGACATGTTGCATTGCAGGCTTGTGTCATTGTTCTGTGACGGAGCATTGCCAACTTGTTTTTTTCAGCTCTGAGCGCCGAGCCAGTGCATCCGTGTCTTGGCTCCGCCGCGGCGCTTCAGGTCGGACAACAGGCACCGTTGACTGCCGGAGCAACTGTCTTAAGTCCGTTCGGATACCGAACAATGTCGGCCAGATGTAACTTAATATTTCAGCAGGTCGACTGCACATGGTTGACTTGGATTTGGTTGAATGACGAACGATACAAGGACACGCCCCGAATAACCACCAAGATTGTAAATGCCAGATGCACCGAGGACAAACCATTGTGAAAATCTGCACTGTATCCCATTCTCTGCTTAAGCGTCATTAGCGGTATCCAGCCATAGTCGCGTAGTGATACAGTATATTAGATGAAAGGAACGAGGACCTGGAGGTGACTGTTGACTGATTTTGATATGGCTCTTTCATATTCTTCCTTTTGGCTTCCCCCCAGCGCCAACGTTGTGAGCATAAAGAGGTGGTGCCCAACGGCGCCTACAATGACTGCGCTGTGGCGGGTTTTTAGCACTTGGTGCGACACGCCGTCTAGCACTCTCGCAGTGGAAAACCAAAGAACAAATCTTGTTACTTGACCTATGACTCGGCCTTAAACCTGGAAGAAGGAAGCAAGATGCCCCATTGATAATATGACTACAAATATTGAAATATAACAGACTGAATGGATTTTTTCACCAGAGCACCTTGATGGCCATTCTCCATCAACTATCTAGTTGTCGGCATCCCTCCCGGACGGTTGGTACGGCGCTAGACCAATAGCGCCACACGCTTGAAAACCACTCTTCGTGAGAAACAATTCTACCAGGTCTAGCCAATGCAAAGTAGAATTCGCGCAGCATCCGTGAACGTGATAATGAAGAGTTATTTTATTAGAATATATGGGTCGGCATGTCCATGATGGATGTTGCTGGTGAGATGATCCGTACCCCAGAGAGACAGATTTTACACGTACATACGCTGGATTAATATGATACACCAAAAACACATCCACGCAAAGCTGAAGCAGCCATGGGAACAGACACTTTACGAGGAGGGCATATCCAGATTTTGTCCTGTTTTGTTCTCATCCCCTTCCAATCTGGCTTCCTGCCGAACGAAGGGTTCTACCTGGCAACTGCTGCTAGTCTTTGGATTCGTCCAATTTCAATGTAGCCAGCCGGGTAGGCAAGAGCCACTTTTGGTCATCCAGGTACTCAGATGACGCGCCGCCGCTTGTTCGGCCGCCAACATACTAGGCAGTAGACATCAACTTTACCCATAGAGAGAATACACGCGTTCGTTGAAATTGAAGCAATTATTAATACGGTAAGCAGGCAAGCAAGGGTTGGTCCCTCCTGTGTATAAAAGACAGCCAAGACTTTCTCTCTTGACTCGTTTACTCCTTGGCTCAAGATAGTCTTCATTCTGTTGCCATAACAGATTTCTACGCTTCATCAGATTTGAGCGCCAATCACAAGCAACCCAACATGGCAGACACTTCTGATTTCGACCCTACAAACGTCAATTTGACGGAAGCAGACCCGACTGCCGTCATTTGCTACCTGAACGCCGGCGGCAATGACTATGACGGTCGCCTCGGCGCCCGAACCTCGGCCTTGTTCGTCATTTTTGTCGTGTCTACGGCCGCGACCCTGTTTCCCGTCGCCGCCAAGCGGATTCGCCGGTTCCGCGTTCCCCTCTACGTCTACCTTTTTGCCCGCTACTTTGGTTCCGGCGTCATCATTGCCACGGCCTTTATCCATCTCCTGGATCCTGCCTATGATGAGATTGGACCGGCCTCATGTGTCGGCATGACGGGCGGCTGGGCCGAGTACTCCTGGCCCCCAGCCATTGCACTGACGTCCATCATGGCCATTTTCCTCCTCGACTTCTTGGCCGACTGGTTCGTCTCGCGGCGGTATCAGCACGAGTCCCAACACGTCGACGTGCAAGGTGCCATCTGCCACGATACGCAGCAGCCCAACGAGAGGCTGCCGAAAATTCTCACCCCATCCAATGGAGTCGACTCTCTGGAGGCCGACGACTTCTCCCTAGACGAAGACAAGATTCAAGTCGCCTTTCGCGAGCAGATTGCTGCATTCCTCATCCTCGAGTTTGGCGTCATCTTCCACAGCGTCATCATTGGTCTCAATCTGGGTGTCGTTGGCGAGGAATTCAGCACTCTTTACCCCGTGCTGGTCTTCCACCAGAGCTTTGAGGGACTGGGCATCGGTGCCAGACTCTCGGCCATTCCATTTCCAAAGACTTTTCGCTGGTTGCCCTGGGCATTGTGCATTGCGTATGGTCTGACGACCCCGATTGCCATTGCCATTGGACTGGGCGTGCGAGAGACGTACGACAGCGGTTCTTACACTGCCAATGTCGTTTCAGGCGTGCTGGATTCCATTTCTGCAGGCATCCTCATTTACACTGGTCTGGTGGAAATGTTGGCTCGAGACTTTATTTTTGACCCTGCACGAACCAAGGACAGTAAGCGGATCATTTTTATGCTGGCATCACTTTATCTGGGTACCCTAATTATGGCTTTACTCGGCAAATGGGCCTAATCCGTAAGAGTTTCGCTTGCCATGTAGTGGGGGGTTTTTTTTGTTGTCTGCCGGGTTTTACGGAACTTGGGCGGAATCTCCGGGTGTTCAGAGCTCAGTATATTTTGTAATGCATTTCGCTAAATGCGCCCCACATTTTCCTATAGATGAACCTAAATCAAGCCTGTTTCCCCTATAATAATAATGCTGCTGCTGCTGCTGCTGTTAAAAGTGACTGCGGAATAATAGAGTGCGAAACTATAATAGTGCCAGTCAAGTTCACCAATCCATTCACGCATAGGATTTCTAATGCCAACAACGCATCATCGCAGTACATGTCATTCGTGGGAATTACGAAAAACCTGGAAATCCTGGGTCATGGTGATTCTATGTGTATCTAAAAGAGAGACGCTGCAAAGTATCTAGCCTAGTATACATGAAGCAGGTGACACCATATGGTCTGGGTCGCAGAGACCACCAAGGTTGGTCCGGACCCAGGTCGCCAACGAATGTGATGTGTGGTGTGACCAAATCAAGCGAGATGCATCTCCTGCTTTGCCGAGGGAAGAGGCTCATCAAACACCCCCACTAAAAGAAATCCCAACGGAACAATAACGCCATTGAAACTTTTTCGCGATATTCTATCATTTGCCCTTTTTCAACAAAAATAAGAGATTCGCCTAGGCCATGTCAGGGATGTTGCATCGAATCCCACGAAAGAGCGACGTTGCCGCCCCAGACTCATGAATCAAAAATCGCTCCATAAGCAGGGACGCCACGCGCTTCCAGGCCATACACAACTTTTTCCGTCACTTTCTGATTCGAGATGATGACTGCAGCCTCACACTTCATAGGCGCCGCGTCACCGCCAGGGCTGCCATCCTCACCGGCCCACATGCGATAAGCCAACGAGACCAGGTCTGGCCGACCGTATGTCTTTGTATCCAAGATCAAGGCCCGGGGGTCAGCGCGCTTGACAATGTCAATAACGCCCTGGCCATAGGTGGTCTCGGGGCTGCGGGCGCTCCAAATGATGCGCACCGGATGGTCGGGCGACTGCACAAAGAGCGACAGGCAAGGGCCAATGCCTGACCCCGTGGCGATGATGACGACGGGGTTGAACAGGCCGGCCACGCGAATGACGCCGAATTGAGGCAGTCCGCGGATCCAAATCTTCTTGGGCGGATCCCGAATCATGCGCTGCGTCCAGTCGCCGGCATTGGACATGAGAATGCTAAAGCCCTCGGGACCCGCCCGCTTCTTCTCCACGGCGCCCTTTTCCAAATCCGACGACGAGCATGTGGACGCGGGCGCCGATGTTGTGGGGGTGTTGGGAATGACGGCAAAGGCGTGCGTCTCCTTGAGGGGAGCGTCGGAAAGACGCACCGCCTGTCCATAATGCACGCTCGCGTGCTTGAACTTGAACTCGGCGGCGTGGGAGGAGAGGACTTCGGTCTCGACTTCGCGCAGCCGGAGGTTCAGCCAGGGGTAAATGACAAAGAGGGAGATGAAAATGAGATTCCAAAAGGACGGGATCTTGATGGCTGCTGACCCCATGGAGATGTTTTGCTGAGTTGCAGACGCCTTGGCCAAGAGAAGAACAACTGTCCAGAATAAAAAGATGATGGACCATCCCAGGAAGCGATGCGTGTTTTCAAAAGAGTTGTGCCAGCGACTGCGCATGCGGGGGTGGGCGCAGACCAGGATGGCCACCAGAAAGGCCATGATGGCATAGCTAAAAGCTAATACGCAGATCTGGATTGGCGTCATCTGGGTCTTGATGTACTCTTGAGTGACGAGCACCAGATAGGCAATGTACCACAACGTGGCAGACACATTGCAGCCGCTATGTAGTCCTCCATACGAGTAGACTTTGGCAATGACTCTCCGTATACACAACGGTGCCTTTTTGGGCAGAGATCCAAAGAGGACAAAGATGGTGTTGACAAAGTGCTCATTCCGTACAATGAGGGATACCAAGAGATTGGAAGATGTTGCTGTTGCACAAGCGTCGTATGTCAGGTAGTAGCCATGCCTGGTTTTATATATCGCAGCGAGGGTTATGAGTATAACAATATTTGTGAGGAATGCCACGGCAAAGATTCGACGATACACTGAACCAAAATTCCATCGCAGCCACCGGTAGGCTCTGTTGCCTTTTTTCTGAGGAATGACAGCAACTACAAGGTCATCAGACTCTGCAGACACTGATGAAGGTCCAGAGGCAGACTTGATGCCAGAGTTTTCATAGGTTGTGGATGCCATGAGGGAGTATGAGTTGGTTTCCGGTTGTGGATATAGAAAACTCACGCAGAAACTTCTGCCATGATCTTTGGGTATCAGCAGCTCTACTTATGAATTCTTTGCTATGAGTGTTTACTACGACAGCCATAACCTTGATCCACAAATCCTCCAGTTCACTATTGAGGCCAAGAACATTCGGCCGAATGGAAGATGATGACATTGTGGATTGTTTCATGGTGCCAGGTATGAGCTGAGCTCCGGTTATCTATGCGAACGACCAAAATCAAACATTGATCCGCTGTTCAGATTGGGCAGTCGGCTGGATGATCGGATGGAAGCGATGGTAGCCCAGCCGCCAAATGTTTGGGATTATCACCAACGGAATCAATTTTGGCATCAAAGTCTGGAATCTCCTGCGCACGATACTATGTGCTGCGCGTCGTCGCGGAGGTTATATCCATTTGCTGTATACCGCAGCGGATGGACCCGCCGGGACTAGGTATAATTCAGGAAATGCTGCTCCGAAAAGTCTTCAACGGCACTGACGGGCGGCCATGGCCACCAAGGTTGCATATGCAGCCGGGACCCGCCGTTTACTCTTTTTTATTTTCCAGATACGTTCGCACAAGGGGATAGCCCACAAGCAACATGGAACCTGGTCAATTCCGTCGACGGATTGGCCAATCAGGACCATGTCCATGACGAGTCCGCCCATCAGGGTCTGATCGGTTCAAAACTCACATGCATCGACAATTTTCGCATATGCATATTGATGCTGAACTGATAAGCGGGAGTCTTGGCACATGAAGTGATTTGATTTATTTTTTAAGCGGGTCAGACCGGGACTTGTTTACAGATTAGATGCGTGTATGTCGAGGGATTCACGTATACACTGCAGCAATAAACGTATTGACACCCCCTTGCTTGCATCCTTCTTTTACCATTGAATTGACTAAGAAATAGAGTATATGCATGAGTGGCGAGGCACTGGCCCACGCAGCCTTCCCTTTTCGTCTGCATTGTATCCCAAAGCACTTCAAGGGACCCGGTTTCATGAACCATTGCGCAGTTCTCTTCTGCAGACACTGACCAGCCAAGGCGTTATTCTCGACCTCTACCGTAACCGTGCGATCCCTCAGCCACCTCGGCGCCCTTATGTGACTTGCCGGTCACCCGCGTTTCCAAGTAGATAATGATAACGACCGACCTGGCTGGGCATGAAAGAAGACCATTGCATCTTCCTCATTCAACCTGACGCATCAACCCCCAAGCAGTGGATCGCGCAATCGATTGTATCATCTGTGGCAGCCCCGAAGTATGACTTCACACAGGGCAAGTGTCTAGAGCTGATCCCTCGGAATCCTTGGAAAGCTACCCTTGTCAATCAGAGTGTGATTCTCCCACCTGGATTGAGTCGGTACGACATGGTAAGCGAAGAGCTTGAAAATAAGTCTAATTGTAATCTACTAGAGGGAGCGAGAATGCCAAGGTAGCAGTCGCCTTTGGAAATACCCAATACGGTTTATGTGGAACACGTTGTATTTTGCCCTCTTACTACACTCGGCTGATGAAACCTTTGTTATCTCGGAATTAAGCGTGTTGATATTGCTTGCCTCATCCAAAGCAGCACCCCCGACATAACTAACAACCATCTTTTCACTGCTCTGTACGAAATACTCATCATCATGCACTCTTCCCCATGATTTTCCCATGCAGCCAGTGCGCCGTATCTACAAACTCCTCCGGCCGATCTTGAATGCGGCGATACATCATCTTTGCTGATTCCGTCATCAATAATTTATCCCGCCAAGACTCCCGAGCGCAGTGGCGTCAACGAACACGTTTGAGGGTTCATCTGCCTTCCAATACCGCCCGTCACCGAGTGACAGTCTGTAGTGTGCCAATACCGGTCATACTTTGAGGACTTTTGTTACATCTAGTCTAGCCTAGCTCTAAACTCTATAGCATCGGTGAGAAGGGACAAAGTACTCCTCGGCAAGATGCCACCTTGATTACCAGGATATGGGCCTATCAAGTATCATTATGCCTTGAACTAGCACCGCCAGAAGCTCCGCTATCACGAGTCCTACACTACGATAATCGGTCTGCCCTTGTAGCCAACAGAATGAGTGCCCATATTTGAGGGAACGATTTACACAACCATTGTCGATGAAATTTGCTAGTTCAAATGTCATTCACATGGAGAGGCCGTCAAGAAAAGTCGTGGTCCTAGTTGATATTAGAGCAATCGACTTTAACTGAGCCAAGCACTGTCAAGTTACATGTGGCAGCATTCAGAGACAGTGGACCCGTTGGTGACACCATAATATCGGCTTTGTCCCGGACCATGGTCGATATACCGTCAGCTAAGTACCTTTACATTTGGCTTTACAAGCTCACCGTCAAGAAGAGAGTTTGTGCAGCTCGGACGATCTAAGGCGGACGACTCACATCAAAGCCCTTCTGTCGCGGGCAAACGAGAGATGTGTGGAAAATGGACAACACATTCAGCCAGTACGGCTGGGCGAGGCCGACGCCGCTTTTTTAGGCCGTCACGATTGGAAATGGGCAGATCCAGTTGTAGTTGAATTTCTTCTTCGTTGGTCCTCGGCCAAACCTTCATATCTTGTAGATGGGATCGATTCTGCGCTTCTTGTTTGCATGCTTGGCTTGAGCCTTAACGTCCTTTCCCAATTGTATCCACAACGTTCGACGCTCTCTTCTAGCTTCTTGGCCACCTCAGGTTGTTTACTTATCTGAAATCTGTATAAAAGATTAATATTCATAGGCACCATATTAGCTATAGTATTCACATGCTACTAGGTCAAGAAGATAGGTAGGTATTTAAATAGGTCGGTATATATAGATTATATGTGTAAAAATCTGCCACGCCGTATATAGTATCATGCCTTTGAGATCGCCAATTCTCCCATCTACTGAGCTTTCGCCGAAAAATGCCTTTGACCGCAGTCTACACTGGATGCAGAAATACCCATACGTCTACCCATCGCGTATACGCTGCACACAGCTTTCTGCTCGGGGCGTTCCTGCTGCTCATTGGTGTATCTAAACTTTATGCGTTTGTCAAAGCCATCACTCATGGAGATGTAGGCATTGACGTCCATGGATTATAATAAGCGGCAATTCTGATACAGACGCTGTTCCCGGGTATATTCATATTGTCGTACTGACGTAGTCAGTACTCATAGTGATTGTAAGGCCAGAGCCTTGCTGGTTTGTACTAGTACCTTACGGAAAACGACGAAGAAGAAGGTTTTTAATAGAAAACGATTATTTAACTGGCTACGGGCCACGAGATTGATAATCTCTTAGTTTAGTTGTGACAATATATAGCAAAAGTTGATAAAAAAAGAGGGCGGAAAGCTATAGTGGCTGCGGGGGAAATTAGGTATTAGTACCTAGTGTGGTGCCTAGCACCTAACAGTGACAAATACTGACACAAGAGTACCAAAGAATCATGAGTACTCATCGAAGACGACGACAGTGAAGTAAGGCAGCAAGAGCACCCAACAGATAAGCTTCAGTGCAAGTGTCCTTCAGAGCCCGTCACCTGGGAAACAGAGGGCTGAGCTCCATCAAGCCCAGCAGATAGTCAATCCTGCTCGAGAGACACGTGATCCAGGACAACGGCTTAATATAGCAAAATCGCAATCCTTGGACAACTTGCGCTGTACTGCAATGGCGTTATTCAACGGGTCCTTGGCCAAACACTTTGGACTAGGCACTAAGCTCCTTCACGTGCCGGTCACTTTCCCTCACCTGAGCAGATGTGTGAATGGGGGGCTGAAGACGAGATGATCGAGGAAGCATTGAAAGTTGTCTGAGTTGATCTCTAATCTATAAAAGAGAGGTGCTGAAGACGGCTTTATATACCCAAGCAGATGATCTGCGGTGGGCAATGCCAATGTCATTGCAACACTTTGGTAAACAAACCTGGGACGGCTTTTGTTGACAGCAGTAGTAAGAATGGCAGAAAATATATTTACTGGTCGCTGCATTGGCGTTCTCGAGTGCCATAATAGGTACGGGCGCTTCAACTCCAGGGCAACGTCCTTGCCACCAGCGACTCGTTTGTGGGACTTGAGAAAAGCGTAGTAGCACACTCGCGGCGGCGGAACAGAGATAGAAGCCGGTTCTGACGTATTTTCTTCTAGGGTAAGGTGTTGAAGTCCAACTACCAGTATTTGAATTCACTTCCCTACCTAGGTTTGTTTGTCTGTCGTGTTCAGCGCCGGAGACTAGCCGCGTAGCAGTACTCTGAGCCGCTCGAATTGCACTACTCTGTGCTGGCGATCGCACTGAACCAACTTCTTCAGCTTCAGCTTCCAATATACTCCCTGCCAACAGCCAGCCATCCTCACCACAACTTGATTCTCGTAATTTGATGGAGCGAGGACGAGCTTTGGGTCCACAAAAGACGAACATATCCTGGAAATTGAGCCAATGTATGGCTTCCTGTATGTTACTCAAGTCAAAGATGCCTTGAAATCTTTCTCTCAATCCTCGCCAATTCTTCTTCACTTATTTCTGCTGTCTGCTGCACTCGCGACCATTTCTACCCTTCAACACAAAGGTACACGGGCATGTGCCAACAAAGTTATGAAACATGAGCAACGTGTCTTTTACAATTGCAAACAAAGAGGTCACTCGGCTCGGAACTCCCACAGTCCTAGTGTTATACAGGTAAGTACTTGAACACAAACTTACGCACCCCATTCGGGCCGTACTATTTACCCAACGCGGCCGCCAAGCGATCGGGAGAAGTCTCACTGTGAGCATTCGCGGTGATCATTATGCCGTTTTCATGAGTGGGCGCAACTCAGTCATAAACATATCCGGGGACAGCGTCAATATCAACATTGGCGACAATTTTTGTGTCAACGGGTACATTTCTATGAGTGGCAGTTCTAAAAATCGCCTCAGCTTGAGGGACACGGATGAGCATCAGTAGACGGGTTCTCAGTGGCAGAATACTATAACCGGCGGCAGCGGCATCGTTG